TATGTCTGCTTCTGTCTCATTGAACCCCAGTCAGCCTTGGCAGATGGCCGCTCACATGATTCGAGTCAATGAGTCGATGCAATCAGCTGATTTTCCTTATATATAAAACTTTGAACCAATATGACTGTATGATCTGGTTGAATTGTTTATGTATACTGCCTTTACATTACATGTGATGTGAACTGGCACTATATAAATAAACTGAATTGAATTGAATTGATGCTGAGGTTTGGGTGGGGTGTGCGGTTTTGAGCTTTCATGTTGTGGGTACAGATTCAGCTGTAGTGTTGGCCTGGATAAAGGAGACTCAGTAGGATTCCTGTAGGTAATTAAAGTGCAGTGGTCAAAGAGGATCGGGTTTTAAGGAAATACATATTTCTTAGCATTCAATGCCATACGTCAGCACGAAGGTCCAAAGTATGAAGACAAGAATGCGTGGGACACATTTTTTGACAAAGCCAATCGAGTCTGAGATAGCATCAAAGGCTGCATTTAAGCTTTCACCTTCAATGTCAGCATTGGATGTTAAAATCCCACACTATAATGACAAATTAATTTCCAGAATGAAAACAATATCCATCAATCCATCAGTGCCTTATAATATTATCAATACCATTAATATTTGTCAGTTTATATTTGATTGAAACATCTATTTATACAATTGTTGAGCATAAACTTGACAACTTTACCAAAGACTACATTTGTAATTGCACTTTGTATATGCATTCAGATTTAATAATTGTATCTTAATCAGCATCTAACAGCATTTTTTTGTGATTTAAAACTTTCTATTTTAACTTTATAAAGTGCTTGCCATGCCAATTTGCTATATCCTTTGTATTGATATTGGTAAAACTTCAAATAAACATGATTCAGTGTAAAATTCTTTATTAATATTGACTTGTACTCAAGCATTAGAATCAGAGCTAATATGGATTAGTTTAAAGGAGCCCATTGAAGCATGAAAGCTAGTTGATAGCTGATGTGGGAGTATCAGACATGTGCTCTTAGAGACATAGGGCTTTAGACTATTGACCTTATGTGTGTGTGCTCTGACACAAGTAAGCGTTTAAGTGCTTCAAATGAATCAGTGGAGATGAGGGGTGACTGTTCTTTTTCTGTTTATTTAATTATCCTCCAACTTGATCATGGTGTGAGATTAGTTGGGCAGTTCTCCTTCAAAAATGCACATACACTTAGCGTATACAGAGGGGAAGTATGGGGCTACTTTATGTTAAGAAAGAAACGTAAACCGCTGTAGGTCAGTATTTATTGTTTACTTAATCTTTCTGCCTGCATATGAATTAACATGTTAGACCCAAAGGTCTAACATGTTAATTTTATTTACAGCATTTTGTGATGTGATTACACACTTTAGCTTCTTTCTAACACATGCTCAGTAGAAAGTCCACTATCAGCAATGCAATGCTTGTTATAATGACTATTACCTATTATATGTCATCTAAGTGTCAAAGAAAAACCATGTTTGTGACTGAACATGATGATGTACCTGTACCAAAGTAGTTTGAGCTGGAGCTAGACCATTTGTTAAAAGCATTTTTTTTCTTGTATAAAATTTATGGCCATGCTAAATATTTAAAATGGAGCCTAGGCAGAAGTTCAACTGAAGAAACTAATTGTCTACTACAACCACCAGGAACACAGCCAATCAGCTTAGAACCACACCTCCAGGAAAGCCAATCGGCATCCAAAGTTCATCTTAAAAGGCCTCCGATGGTCTCTTGTCTGCTCCTGTGGGCAGGCGGTGGTTGCGCTGTGTGACTTCATTCAGATGACACCGTTTCAACCCACCTCCAGCCCCTCCTCCACCATCATAGCTAAAGCTTCATCAGAGTGTCATTCCTCCAGGATTCTACTGCTTTCCCTATCTCATCTCACCTGGTCCGTCAGAAGACCGCCATGTTGAGCCTGGTTCTGCCAGAGGTTTCTTCCCAACGGGGAGTTTTTCCTCTCCACTGTCTTTCCATGCTTGCTCATCATGGACAGGTCCTCTCAACCTGTGTTATCCAACTGGACTTCCATCTTCCAGATCCCTGAGTGAAGCTCTGGTATCAGCTCACATAATTGACTGGATCTCCCCATAAAGCTCAGCATACCGTCTCACTAACCAGCAGTCTACAGACTGACCAATTTATCTCCACTCCACCACTAGTTTCAGGCCTGGGGGAAACAGCCCTATTCTGTTCATGCATATCTATCAAAATTAAGCTCTATGTTTCCTGCCGAGGTCTGAGCGCCAAAGACAAAGTAATTGTATCAATAAATTTCTCCTAACTGTCCTTTCTCTTCATTTGACTTTCCAGATTGAAATATATTAGTATTACAGTACTAATATAATCTTACACTAAAAAGTATTTTTAATTCATTTTTCTCAAAAAATGATAAGCACTTACAGTACACGCAACCTCACTGGACATACAAGTTGAATATACCCAAGTTATATCTTTTAGATATATACAGTATCTGCCATGGACTGGTGACCTGACCAGCATGAGAACTGCTGGAGATCAGAATAAGCCCCCTGGACCTTTATGGACAAGTAATAGAGAATGGATAGATTGATGGATGGACGGACAGATAATTATTTCTGTTTTAAATGTAATTATGACTGACAATTCTGTTTAGGCCTAGTTAAGTAAAGTAACTAAGTAAAACACTAAATATTCAAATTACACGGAGGCCATTGGTTTCAAGCCATTATGTATGTTATTTATTATCATGTTTCAGCTGATGAAAATACAACACCTAAAACTAGCATATTAGGTCAGACTAATAAAGAAAAACAATTTAACACCTGCTTAAAGGGTGTTAGCTGGATAGACACTGAGGTTTATCTTCACATCATGCAAAACAAGGATGCACATGGTGAGAGTGGTTAAAAAAGCTTAATGTTAAAGTTCTGCAGCAAAGAGCATTTCTAGTTCTTCTTAACAACCACTTCTATTAAGGGTTTCAGACAAACTAAACCAGGGATGTCAGTAAATTAAGGGTAAAATTTAAAGGTTTTCCAAAAATAATTATCAGAAGCTGTTCTAAATCTTTTTATGCTTCTTAATAAAACTAATATAAGCTATATAAGTCCAAATCTGCCAAGTACAGTAAGGCTTCTTTTTGTCTTATTATCTGCCACATTGGACTATGTTCACACGTATACAAAAACACACACAAGACAAACTCATGGGGTGAAAACAATAGCAAGCACAGAGTCGCTGTTGGTGAAAAGCCATTTAGAGACTGCAGCTTGGAAAGAGCAGTCTTGCTGCTGTCAGCATCTGACAGACAGCTGTATGGAGTGTGTGAGTGTGTCTGCTGGTGTCTGATTAGTGCTCTTGTCTCTCTCTCTCCCTTTCTCCATGGCATGATTATATAACAGCTGTTCTGGCCTCCTTTAAGAAATGGGTGTGAGTGTGAATGCACAGAATGTGCATGAAGAAAGCAAATCTGTGTATAGTCTGGCTCAATGTGTATGTCTGACCTAGAAATGCCCAACAGTCTCTCATGGCTTCATTAGGACACATCCAAAAGTTCAACATCCATAACCTTCAAATCATCATCCTGCTGCCTTCTACTTGCTGATTTTTTTTTTAAGTTTTTCACTTTCAGTTTTTTTGCTGTTAGTTATTTTACTTTGCTTTCTTCTGAAAAACTGTATTACCTGGGTTTATTTCCACATTTCTATTCAGTCTAATTTAGAAATATTGCAAGACAATTTCATTTATAATCAAGACAATCTGATTATAGATGAATCACCATCTACAATCACAATTCAATTTTCACGAATAAAGATGTGCTGTGAGCCTTGACATAAATGTATTTTTTAAATGCATCATAATCTCATGCTGAGACTATTAAGCAAAAACAAACTCATTTACTATAGTGTGAAAAAACCTCCTTGTGAAGAGATAATTATTTTAAATTCATTGACAATAATTGTCAATTCAGGAAATGCAGGAGGGCTTTTTAGAGGTAGGGAACTGAAGAGGACCTGTTTTTCCTCAGCAACCAAAAAACTCAGTCCCTGTTGAAATAGTTTTGGCCTCACAATCACAAAATAGTTGCAATCTGGACATAAAGAGCAGAAATGACAACAAGCTGTGAAACAAACAGTAAAGCTCCATGCAAAGTTACCAAGCTTCAGTGGTCAGCATTTGATAATGTGGATTTTAATTGCATATGTTGATTGCAAGCATAAAATTATCACATATGAAACAGATTGCTTGAATGCTGCTTGTTCTTTTTACATCTTTTGTCAGCACAAAAAAAATCAGCAACATATGCTTATGTCTTTGCTCTCCAAATGCTTCCCTTGCGCATTTATCCATGATATAAAGAGCTGAAACTGCGACTTGCTTTTTATTTTTTTTAGCAATCTATACAAACAATGATATAGATAATTTTAAACTACCATATGTACAGCAATAGCTCAAAGCTACCTTCCTGTCATCAGGAAAGAACTAAATCTATATAGGACAAAATGCTCTCCAAATATGGATTTCCTTGTTGCTTTACTTTACTGCATTTTAATCTTTATGAATAAAGCACATACTTATTATGTCCAGAAATGTCAAACCTTCTGATGCTTCTACCCACCACTGCGTTTTTGCCTGCTTAGCTCACAATCACTGCTAAGGCAGATAATATGAATTACTTGGAGTGTTAGTGCGGATGAAAGGCAAAGCAAAAAAGTTTAAAATTTTGGACTGGGTTCTCAGGGGGATTTTAAATATTTGATTAAGGAGCAATCTTATAGACCGGAAACCTAGTGTTCTCAGACAACCCTTTCCTTAACTTCCTCCTCCTAACTGGATATTTTGCTATGCAGCTGTTGGTCTTGTAGATCTGCATTAGATCCAAAGACTTTGTTACCAATACTTTGATCCTGCTCACACCCGCTGAAAAAGGGGGGACAACCAGGTCAGTCGTCCCAGGGCCATGGTAGAGGGGGTGCCCTGATCCATTTATTTATTAAATTTCCTCTTCTATCCTGGGTCTGGCAGCGGCTCCATCACTCTAACATAGAGACAGTACAGGGTCTCTCACAAGAGAAAGACACAGGAAAAGCTCAACTTTGGATCGGTCTCGCCTGCAGAAAGTCTGCACAGGTGGCACAGCTCGTAAATACTCTAATTCTGCAGTTTCTGTCAAGGATTTGTTTTCTGTCTTCGCTAGTTATAATTAAGATCGGACCAACATGTCTTAAGATGTTGGAATGTTTTGAATTTGGCTGTGACTACAAGGCAAGTGGAGCATATATGGAAAGCCAAAAATGCCACATATTTACGGTAATAAATAACAAAAGCGGCAAGATTGCCATTTGTAAATGTAAAAAATTCAATTTGTTACTTGCAATGCATGCATTAAATGAATAAATATACATTTTTGTCCTAAATAAATAAATAATTACATATTTTTCCTTTTTGTAAAGGTATTATGGAGGATTTCCACTAATTTTTTTTAAAAGACCTGCCCTCTCCTTTAAAAAAATGCTCTGCTTAAAAGATGCTGTTCTCATAGCTCATGCAAGCTTACTGTGGCCGAACATCCACCCTAACCCTAACCCCTAAATCCTTCAGTCACTATATAGAGCAGGGACCATATACTGGACTTTATAGCAAACTCAGCTAACTGACCTTTTTGGACAGATGATCGAAAAAATTTTCTCCGTTGGGAATGTTGGGAACGTAGCTCCTCCCCACCGCACTGTGCCAGAGCCAGTTTTGTTATTAATTGTCGCTGTCTGGTAGCGACACAACCATTGTGACAGTTAATCCCATAATGCTTTGCGAGGAGAGCTCTCCACGCAAAGTATTCTGGGATATATCTGCCTCTTCGTAGACACTTTTTCTCCTACGACCCTCTGCCATTTTCAAAAAATCGCAGTGAGAAAGGTGAGCATTCAATGACTGTCTGAAACCGTAGCTCACCACACATATACGCCTGAAAGTGCGCATGCGTGGAAAAAGATTGCTAACAGGACGGGCATGTAGGACGGCCTTACATAAACATATCACCAGATTGATTGACAATTAGGAGGACCACTTGTTTAGATGATCCACCCAGAAACAAAAGATCATCCTCTATACCTTTAATTAACTATTAAATACATATTTTGCTTGCCTCCAGAAAATATTACTTAAAAATTTAATATAATAAGCACAACCTAATTATATTAGGTTGTGATATTGATCAATCAATACTTGATCAAATGAGTTTATAAGTATATAGATGGGTGGGGGGCCCATATCATACTATTTTGTCCTGGCCCCATCCAAGAGGCTCTGACTGGACCAAATTTTGGTATGTTATTTTGATGCTGAGGTTCATTGTAGCATACCAGTATTTGGAAACTTATACTTATTAAACCTTAACACAAAAGAAAAGGGGATGTTTTAAAAATGATGATGCATAAACACATATATATCTATATATGCTCTTTCATTTTGAGGCAGGCTTGTGATTCCCTAGTTTGTCTACTAACCTCAGGTCAGCGAGTGATGCAATTCAGATCCAATGTGTTGCAACTGCAAGCCAACTTACATAGAGATTGACACATTTCACCTCAACTCCTCATCCAAATTTAAGATAAATCAGAACAAAAACTGTAAAAAAATAAATAAATAAATAAATAATGTGATCATATAGATGACACATGGTATTGTTCGTTTCTTTTGGCATCTGTGAATCATCTTATAATAATGATGTAGTTTACTTTATTTACAGAAGTGTGTTTTTATTTAAGTCTATAGGATGTTGTTTTATCTTCAAGTGACCAGGTGTTTTGTCCCTGGAAATGTACACTGACTGTACACATGTACACCTTGACTGAGGTCTTATCAGTTAAAGGTCTCGCACTGAGGTCCACTGCACCATTTTACTACTTCTCACCCTTCTAACCTACTCCTCTGTTCTTCCCCTTTTTTCATCCCTTGCTGAGTCCCGTCTCATCACCTTTCGTTCTCTTTCTCTATTCCTACTCCTTTGCCCCTCTCTCATCTTTCTACCCCCTGCTGCATCCCTCTCCATCACTTTCTCTCTTACCCTCCTCCCCACATGTCTGTCTGTTCGAAACTAGAGCAACATCTTAATCGAGGCTCTGAGACGTGACGGGAATTCCTAAGCATCCCCAGCTCTGCAGTACAGATACACACACAAGCAGAAACCCACACGTTCTGCTTTGCAGCCAATTAACAGCTCGCAATCCAGCACCAAAGGAATAACTGCATGTTGATGAGCTGGAGCCTCCATGCACGTGTGTATATGTGTGTGTTGAGCTGGTGGCCGTCAGAAACACTTACACAGATAGAAGGATAGCTCTTTTATGTGTTCAAGGGAAAGAGGGAGATTATGGTGTATTAAAAGCCCTCTCCAAGCGGGACAACCTAAGAGAGGAACTAGGAAGTGCCTGAGAATCTCTTTTTGTGTGTATGTGTTTGATGCTATCCTGGCACATTCAGTTTATGATCTACAGTATGTGTGTGTGTGCGTGTGTTGGCGTGTACAAGCCGCATTAAGAGAACAATGCAGACGATTTACTTGGAGCTGAGCCCTGCTGTCTCCTCCTCATCCTCCTCCTCATCCGTCCTCTATTTTTGTTACCTTTCATTCTTCTCCTCCTCCTTCTCACTTCTATCCAGCCTCTACTTTGTGGAGTTCATCCAAAGGTGAATCCCTGGCACAGAAAAAAAGTATACTGCACCCCCTTCCAGAAACTCACATATTCTCTTTGTGTGTCAAAAATATTGACATCAGCCTTGACACAATATCCCAGAGCAGCAAGGCACAGTGCTTGCCAGGTTTCATCATCCCTCCGTATGTTCTTCTAAGATAGAATATGTTAAAACGAAGGCTGTGGGTTTGTAAACCTTAAGGTTTTCTGTTTTTATTTTTTATTTTTCGCTCCACTTCTTTGCACAATCCTCCACATCTTTTCTTGTTATATTTATGTGGGTAGGTAAGAGCCTTTCATTCGTCTTTTGATAACAAGGAGAAATTTAATCATTTAAAAAAATAGAGTATTTGTTGTATTTGTTGATAACAAGGAACAAGCATACATCTAGAATTTATATTGAGCATTAATTATGCTTTTTCAAGTGGTCTTTTTAATTATATACATTCATCCATCTAATATATGTATGTCCGAAATAATGATTCAAAAATACAAAATTTATGCGAAATTAATTGTGGAGCAATAGACTGTTTTCATTCTGCTTAAATTAATGCATGGCTGACAACTTGCTGGAAAATGCTGCACTTCCT